CTCTTTCCTAACTTACCTTCTAAGTTACCATCCTCAGCTTCAAATGAAAACTTAAAGACAGAGCTGAAATTCCCCATGCTGGATAAACTGGATGCATGGAAGCATTGGGACATGGAAACATAACAAAATGCACTAATTTTTGAAACAAAGTCAAGCTTTTTCTTAAACAATTGAAATGGGGAAACATGCAAATACAGGAATGAACAGCTTATTCAGAAATGAAAATCACACAGAATCATGTGAAATATGAATAAAAAAATACAAAAATATTGTGCAATAACAACCACTCTACCTTTGTATAAAGGTAAACTAGCTATTAAAAATGTACATTGACCATGCAAAATGATAAACTACTAGAGTTATCCATGGAATATATTACAGAAAGTAAATAGGAAGGACATGCTAGTAGATTAGCTTTTCCAAATTGTGACCAGAGTTGCAGTGAGCTTTTTCAACACACCAGTGCATTTGACAGGATGTCTCTCCAGATTTAACAGCTGGCTGTTTCGAAGCCCCAAATCCTACACTCTGTTGCTTTTCCTGCTCTCACATTTGGGAGCTGTAGACCACTTCAACATCATTCAAATGCTTTGCAAATGTCAGCATATATTCATAGCTTATAAAGTAAACTGTAACATCACATCATTTTGGCAGCTTGCAGACAGACACACGGACAAGTCAAGTGACCTGTTCAAAGTCAGTCTTGTGCTCAACCCAGTAAACTCTGGTGCTTTCTGTGAGTTTAAAAGTGCAAAATGAGATCGCAAGCAGAGCAAACCTAAAACAATGAAAAAGGACAAACACTTTTAGCTTATAAATCACTGGTCCCAAATTTTAATTACAGGGTATGCTTAGGGTGACACACTGCACCATTAACCCATGTTTTTGAGGTAAGCTAGTGCCTCAACTGAGGGAAATTATAAGAGGAACTCAAGGAGAAAAGAAAGTGCATCAAGTATTGCATCAATGGGTTACTACTTTCTAGCTTGACTTGTATCTCTGTGCAAATCTGAGAGACTGGAAGGAGACAAAATTATCAGTGTCCAGTTCTATGAACCTGATTCAGACTGATATATGGTAGCTGAATTTACCTTAAATTCACTGAAATTAGCATAGTTTATTTCACTGAAAAATCTTTCCAAAAGTTCTGAAAGAAGTTAACCAAAAAAGTGTGTGTGTGCATGCTTATTCTTAATGAAAAAAATCTTTTCTCAAACAAGATCTTTCTTTTCAGGGAGTTCCGTTTTCCTTCAAATTGTTATCACTTCTGTGCCCTTTCCTTTTTTTGAGAAATATAAATTAATGTTTAATTTTGTGTAAGCATGTATTCTCCTTCCATTTCAGAATTTTTTGCTTTAATTTTTGTCATGGAAAAAGAGTGGATAAGAAGAGGAAGGGGAGAACCATATCAGAACAAAATATTTTTTTTCATTTTAAAAAAGCATTTTATTAAAAAACTGGAAGATTCAGGGAAAAACTGAGGATAAGAAGAAAGTTTTTTCTTTCCTGCTTTCAGCATTACTTTTTCCCCTGGAAATTCAGGTTTGGCCTGACATTATCTAGAAGTAAGCATAAGAAAAAAATACATTCTAAAGAAAATTTCCAGTCTGGAGACAGGTGAAAATGACAGAACAGGACTTGTATTTCCAATATATACGGTAATCTGCTAACGGACTTAGTGTAGGAATTCACGGTTAGACACTGGCTCAACTGGGGTGACTGAAGATGCAAGAGAATCCGTTTGGATAAATGGCTCAGGTAGACTCTCTGGCAACTTCACTGTGTCAAAGACAGTGTACAGGATCAGATTGGAGTATTCATAAATTTTAAAAAAGACTATGAAAAGAAAAGTTACAGCTTGTTTCACTCTCTTTCCCCTCCTTTTCAAAAACTCTCTCTTGATTTCGAACTGCCCTGTCCCAGAGGTGGGTGCTTAGTAAACATTTAACCACTAACCTCCCCAGCTGTTTGCTCATTCAGCTGGTGGGGTTTCTCAAGCTCACTTTGCTCTGATCAAGACATTATTATTACTACTAATAATCCATGTTAGTTACAGCAACAATTAGAGAGACAATACAATGTGCCTTAATGACTCAGGAATGATGACAGAAGCAAAGCGTAAGCATGCTGTATGAGTGCAGGAGCATTCCGATGCTAAAGTGCATTCAACATGTCCATCTCTGAACAGCATATCATGGAAGGCAGTCAGCAAATGACAACACCTGTTTCTGAATTGCAGCTATCCTTCATTTGGGTTGGCAGTTAAGTTCTCTGTTGCCATAGAAAATTAAGTAAATGTCCATAGAAGGTGATGTCATATTCCCTGTGTCTTGGCATATTCCATAATACGCTGCAGCTTGTCTTTTGATATGTAAACAATGTACATGATTTTTTCCCCTTAAATGACAACTTTTAAGAAGAGTGCAAAAAACCATCTTTTGAACTGCTCAAAACTCTTTCAAAATGTCTGGGGTTCATGGACGTTGTTGTCACATTGTTATTTGCAGAACAATTTGAAAAATACATGCAGGTTAAAAAATAAGATAAAATAAAGCATGCATTGCTATATACATGTCTCAATATCCATAAATGTGAAAGATACCTTGCACTCATCTACTATGACTGAGTTGTGAGCTGCAAAAACACATTGGTTTGAGTTGTTTTCCCTGTGATTTTTCATATCGTCATAGATTGACTGAGTCTTGGTCATTTCGATGTCTTCGTGCCCTTTATGATGGGAATCAATGGTGTCAAGTTCTGCCTTGGAAAGGTGGTAGACAATGCCAGCACCAAAAGAATCTCCCACTACATTGACTGACGTTCTCATCCGGTCCCTGCAAAAAAAACCAAAACAAAAGTCAGAGGCTGAATGGCATGAGAGGAAGAAAAAGTAGGGCATGGCAGGACTATTAATGTTACATTTATTTCAGAAAAGTTTCAATGTCAGGGTGCCATGCTCGCATCATTGCCCTTTTTTTAATCTGAATTTATCAGAGCACTGAACTTAATGCAACCATAGAAAAGGATTTTGGATCTGATTAAGTGTTCTCATTTCTGGGATGGATTAACAAATCGCCTCTCCCTTTATTCTCAGTGAGCAAACTGTGGGGAAAAAAAATGCCTGAAATATCTCTGTAAGGCCCAGGCATCGAAGCTCCTCTCCTGGCACCATCTTTACAGGTCATCTGTTAGCATGGCAGCATGCCCACTCACACTGCTGTGTGCCAGAGCCTGCTCTATGAGCCAACCCAGTATAGGTCACGGCATACAAAATGCGAGCCCGTGACAGCATTTCAGTAACGAGTGCCTCTCATTGTAGGAGGGTGCCAACAGAGGCTCACACGCTTCATTACACAGAAATGCGTTTGTTGGCACTTCCTGGACAGGATGCCATTGCACAGACAAGAAACCCTTCTCCTCTCTTGTTTTTAGAGTGTGGTTCTATCTCTCAGCAGTGAACTTGTGGTTGTGGATTTTCCCTGATTTCAGAACTCTGCCCCAAACCTGCCCAAAATTCTGCAAAAATGGGGGATGGGTACGACTATGGGCTCCTGCTACCTCTCCTACTGCAGGCAAGCTGTATTATGCATGTTGAAATCATTTACAATCTAATTTGCCCCTTCATATCCGAACTAAACATGACTCCTAAAAACCTTCTGACTGAGGGTTGCAATGTAAAACTACTGCAGTGACTGAGTCTAGCTTTGTCAAACAGGTCAGAGTAGTGATAACACTAATCCTCAGAGGGATATCCACAAAGACTCCTTTACACAAAATGGGTAGGTTAAACACTGTGACATTTGCCAAGTGAAAGAAAAGCCAGCATGTGAGATCTCATTTCCCATTACAGTGATTAATTTGAAAATACTCTTTCTTGTATTTCTGGTACTAGATTTGTTTGACATCTTTTCCAGTAGAACACTGAGAAAAAAAAAAAAAATATATATATATATATCTATACATATGAACTCCAAACTGATAAGCATTCATTACACATGCCTATTCATGGCCATACAAACTTTTGAGCCCTTTTTAACACCTTTGCTCTAAATATCTTTAAATCTGCCTCTCCCAGCTGTGGAACCATATTCCCTTTCAAGTTTCTCCTCTGCTTCTCTGCATCATCATGCTTACATATTTGAAGTTAATGGTGTAATGTCATAGTTGAAGCAGTTAATTTTTATATTTTTGTCATCAAAAGAATACCCAGAAGGAACCCCCCAATGATCCCCCCCCCCACCCCTTTTAAACGAACCAACAACCCACAGGAGGAAAACCTCCTTCCAGTTTTGCTTCACACAAATTAAATGCTTTATAGAGTTCTCACCCTCTACCTGTGAAGAGTGTTTTAAACCTGGTCAGAGTGGCAGAATAGGAAAATACTACTTTCCCACTGGAATTTTTAATTAAGACCACCAAATATACTGAACATGGCAATATAGCTCCACAAAGAGAATGCCTGCTTAATTTTTTTGTATAAGTGGTATTAACTTTTGAAAGGATTCACTGATGCCAGATAATGGAGGTATAATATAATGCCAAAAAAACAAGGTGGAGAGAATACATAAATATAATGGAAGCACAATTCAAATTCTGAAAGATTTATTTGAGATGCTCCAGCCCATATGCATATACTGCTAGTCAAGAGATTCAGTGATACAAACCGCACACTGCAGCAGAATATACTGTGTGAACTGAAGTGAACAAGTGCCTTACAGCAGAAAGGACAAAGTCTCAGCTGTCAAGAATCAACAGCAAAGTGTCACTGACCGCTTTTGGGCCAAAGAACACCCTAAGAAGAACAAAGATGACTGTACTTAACTCTTTTGCTAAAAACAACCAACCAATTAATTCCAGCTATGCTGGAACAACGAAAACAAAATCAATATAGGAAAGCCACAGTCTAGTAAATGACTTGCCCCAACACAGTTAATTCTGCATTTTCCATAACAGCTTCTGAGAGGAATAATGGGACTGAAAGCCAAAGTTGTCTCTCAAAAGCCAAGTCAACATCTGGTAAGAATGGGCTTTGGAATAACTGGGAAGTAATTCTTCAAATCTTGATAAGGGTTAATGCCTAATTCCCTCAACCTGGCATAAATCAGAAAAACTGGAAGCTTAACAATGTAGATGAAAGGAACAGAAATTAGAAGAACTGAATCAAGCCTCCTTATTATTAATGTCATAGTACCTATGCAGCATGCTGGTATGCAAAAAAAAGTTACTCCTGTTCCCTGAAAGCTTGAAAACCCAGTATATCAACCTGACCTAGATTTTAGAAATGAGATTAAAATCTTAGCACACCTATGAAGTCAAAGCCCAGGTGATATGTTTAACTTACCTTACCTCTTTGTCATTATAGGAAAGAGCTCCTGTTTTCTACAGTTTTAATTCCATTTATGTAAGGCCCTGTTCATCACATCCAGTCGTCAAATGGGTCTGAATATTCAGAATTTAGATCCAATCAAAGGAACAGAGTCAGAACTCAAGCAATCTTTTTCTGAGTTACTGAATACCGGATTAGCTGTCCAAACCCATTTCCTCTAATTCCTCTGTCTTCACTGCAAAATACCACTGTATTTGAGGCTGTGCTATGATATTTGCTAAGCTTGTCAGTCTCACATCTGAACAGAAGCCAGCTTCTGGCTAGAGAAAAAGAAGCTGGTTTTATTCCAGCTGTTGGCATATAATTACTGTCCTATTAAATGTCACTGCTGTGTTGTGCTTAGTTTTATGTTGAGAAACTAGGAGAGTTGTGAAATCTTGGGAAACTTGCCGGGTGAAAGAGCTCACACTGTGTATGTATGTGTGGGAGGGGGAAAGGTTGAGCAACCTAATCTCCAGATATTGAGAAAAAATCAATACAGAAACCTTTTGGCTCCAATTTGAAGGAGAGAGTGCCAAGTTTAAGGACAATCAAAAGTCAGCTTAGTGTTACACTACGACCAAATCATGCAAAACCGGTTTTTGTAAGACCACAGTTTCAGATGACGGCAGCATTGTAAAATCAATTGATGTTCTGATATTTTCTTTCATCAGAAGTACTGAAAAAGTCATAGAGTAGGGAATTTTTGAAAAGCTTTCATGATCTGGGACTTAAGGGTTGGAAAAGAGCTATTACAAGTATTTATAGATGGCTGCTTGCATTTACAGACTGGTTTCAGAGAAGCAGCTGGAATTGGGTCTTAAATACTTTACTAACTTTCTCTTCTACATTCTGTTAGAAATACTGCTATAACACTATTTGATGATCTAAAGAAATGGAAGACAAGGTTTGTAATTAAAGAAGATATCTTTTTATGACCTTTGATTTCAGATATTCTTTAGGTCTGGTTTGTGTGCCCAAAGCCTTGCTCAAAAGTTGGCTTGTGTTCCTTTTCTTAACATCAGCAATGTCAGCAGCATCATTTTCCAAATCTCATTAGATCATCGTGGCTACCACAGTACAACCGCTGGAAGATGGAAAATGAAGCTAATAGCTGTTGATAGATGTTAATTAGCACAACACTTCCACCAACAAACTTTGTCTTAATTTCACAGCACTAGTGGCATGACACAGAGCTTTTCATCTCCTTTTTTATCTCTTTTCCCTTTTCCTTCTACCTTTTAATTCTGAATCATGCTGCAATTGCACTGCTGATTGTTAGGCCAGAAGGATGCAAACTCAACCATCTGTGCTGAAAGGTTCTTTTGCTTGGCATTTATTTTGGAAAGATACCTTGAATTTCTTTCAGAAGTACTATCCTTCCTATACTTACATTCATCACCACATATAGACATTTTTCCTTCCTAAGAGGGGTTGGATGAGACAGTGGTAAGAATGCTTCTGAAGCCCAGCTTGAAATGCAACACCTACTAGTGGATCAGAACTGCTGGTAAACTTACAGCTCTGAAGTTTGCTAGTGTGGGCAGAGCTTCTCAGTCCACAGAAATATTTTTAAATGACATTTCCCTAAAAAACCCAAACAAACCACAGGCTCCTTTTGCACATCCTCCTACCAGCTGCAGCAACCTACCTATTTGCCTTACTTTGAGAGCCAGCAAAAACATGTATTTAAAATGAATATGCTCCTCCCTTTTGCTGTTCTCCTCCCAGCTGCAGATTCCTATGCTGCTTTCCTGTTTTCAACTATGACCTCATAAATATAATAAACCCACAAAATATCACATTTTTCCCTATGCCAGCTGTACTCTGACTGCTAAACCCTGCCTCATTTCATCATTCTGAGTCATGATATCGTGATATTCTGTTATATCTAAAATATGTAAGTCATCTTTTCCCTTTGTGCCTTCCCAAGGTGTAAATTTCTCTTTCATCTTCCCCTGAAGCAGAAGTTGGAAATGCATGCTATTCTTCACAACTTTTAGTGACAACATAGATTATAACAGAGTATAGCAGTAGATGCAAAATACATGTGAAAGGATTGACCAAGTTCTTAAATTCTTCTCAATAAGCCAAAAGATAATGACAGAAAATTAATCTTCTATTTTATCTTCACATTCTCAACTCTGCTATTCCTTCTTGCATAATTTTAGTAGTGTATCTGGGACTGAAAGCTAAAAGCAGGCAGCTTACGCTGCTAGTGTAGGAGGAAATGCACAAATACCACAGAGAGGTACTTACATCTCCCCTCCTGGGCACCACGGCTGGCACAACAGAAACACATCTTTACTAGGTAAAAAAAATACTAGGGGAGAGATGGCTGTTGATGAGAATATACTACGCTGCAGCAATACAGAACAATATAAAAGCGTCTAGAGGCCAGTACAACTAGAGGACTACTGAGTCAGCTCTGTGCAGGTGACAGAAAGACATCCACATTGTAAAATGACAACTTGAGAAAGAATGTGGCTTATCACATGCTCTGTCTATATTTACAGCTTCTGTATTCAAATGTTGAAGAACAAAAGCCTTGGAAAACTATCTGTGAGTTAGCTGTTTCTTATCAGAGGACCTGCAATGGCACTGAAGGACTTTTGATCTCAAGTTCTTGAAAATTAAAGGAGTTTCTTCCAGCTTGAGGGTTCTGCCAGTAAAAAAGAAATAGGGAATGACCACCTCTCTTTCAGTTTGCTTTCTTATTTGTCTTTGGTTTATATCCTGCTCTAGAACAGTTTTTTTCTTAGAAGTATTTTAGTGCAGATGCCCAAATCACCCTGTAAATTGCTGACAATATCCTGACAGAACCTCCATTTTCAGCACTTGTCCTTCATTTTAGACCAGAACTATAAGAAACAGAAATATGAAAGCAAAAATCAGAAAACTGCTCCTGAGCTATATCTGTGATGGAGAGGCATCATTAGGAAGAAGATAATACATGAGTGTGAGCCCAAGGGTCTTACAAGAAGATCCTTGGCTCATAAAAATTGACTTCAGAAGCTCTGTAACAATTTGTACTAACTGAGAAGCTGCTTTCAGTGTCTCCTACTTCATCAAATAGCCTATTTTGTCCTTTGCTTCATCTGTAGAGGAGAGTCTTATAGTTCTTTATAGTTATTTATAGTGCTGGAGTGCTCAGCACAGGAAGGACACGGACCTGTTGGAGTGAGTCCAGAGGAGGCCATGAAGATGATCAGAGGGCTGGAGCACCTCCCCTATGAGGACAGGCTGAGAGAGTTGGGGTTGTTCAGCCTGGAGAAGAGAAGGCTCCGGAGAGACCTTATAGCAGCCTTCCAGTGCTGAAAGGGCTGCCCTGGTTTCAGCTTGGACGGAGTTAACAGGAAAGCCTACAGGAAAGATGGGGAGGGCCTGTTTATCAGGGAGCATGGTGATAGGATGAGGGGTATTGTCTTCAAGATGAAGATTTAGGGTAGATTTAGATTACATATTAGGAAGAAATGTTTTCCTGTGCAGGTGGTGAGGCAGTGGCCCAGGGTGCCCAGAGAAGCTGTGGATGCCCCATCCCTGGAGGGGTTCAAGGCCAGGCTGGATGAGGCTTTGAGCAACCTGGGCTAGTGGGAGGTGTCTTTGCCAAGGGGTTAGAACTCGATGGTCTTTAATGTCCCTTCCAACCCAAACCATTCTATGATTCTATGATTCTTTAAGATCAATGGCTGAAAAGCACTACGGACAAGCATTCCTTCACTACTTTTTCTGCACTGAGCAGTGGAGTCAGCACAACTTACAAAAGCCAGTCAACAGCAACAAGCAAACTGATGTCCTGGGTAGGCAGACCCACTGCAGTAAGGATCAGAAGCATAGTGACAAGTCCTGCACTGGGAATACTGGCAGCTCCAACACTTGCAAGGGTGGCGGTCAAACTGCAAAAACAAAAATCAAATGGCGGTAGCAGGAAGAGAAACATACATTTTCATTGCATGCTCATGTGATCATTAGGAAGGTCTTATTTTTAATGAGTTCTTCCCAGAAACTGACGACTATATGATAAATCATGGTAAGCTCAGGTCGTAGTTTTCACACTTGTGCTTCTCCAAAAACATTTATTAGGGGAGGCCAGACCTATGCATTTTTTTCTGAAAGTTGTAAGAGAGTTGTCTTAGAGTTTTAAGTTCTGTCAGTTGGTTATGACATTCAAATCTTTGGCTTGGTGTTGTTTTCTGAGCTCTACCAACACATTCAGGGTGTTTAATCCTGAGTTTTGATCATCCAGATTTGCTGAAGTTTGGTGACTACAGGTTGGATTTTCAGGGTGGTTAATTTCTGTTTATTTATGGTACTTGAAGACTGAATTGTGAGGTAATGCCTGAGAGAAAGTGGTTACCAAGTACAGAAGAGTAAAAGTCTTGGTATCCAAAACTCCCACATTACAAGCCAGTGGTGTACCAAGCCTAGATACAAATCACCCTAGATGAAAAAGTAAAATTAATCTGATTGTTTTATAAATCCAAACCTGTCTTTGTTTTTGCCTCTCTTATTTTTTGATGAAGATCAGTATAGTGAATGTCTGTTCTCCAAATGTTTGTAAAAATACAACACAGACCATAACAATTATCTACATCATCGGTCAATCCTATGAAGAATAGAAAACAAATTTGTGAGAGAACAAGCCAAGGGGTGAAAAAGAGGGAAGAGGAGGAGAGGGAGAGGGAGGGAAAAGAAAAATGAAAAAGGAAAGAAAAAGTTATCTCTGTGTTTTTAAACACAGAGATGAGTAACATGGTTGTACTTCTGTTGGTGTACCCAACAAATGTGCCAGTGCTTCCAACATAGAAGTAGGGGAAAAAGGTCTCTGTGGGGGAAATCCTCAGCTGTTAGCCACAGAACCAATCTGTGAGGATTTTAGCCGGATTTAGAGTGGATAGACGGCTGAGTCTGACCCAGACAATCTAGGTTGCAGTGTGTTTGCCAGATGTCTGGTTTACAGTGCAACCCAGCCTTCTAAACAGCCAGATAGGTCCAGCAGGTATGCAGGCAGGATGCTCTGCTCTGCCATCAGGCTCTGCATGCGGTGCCAGCTCCTCAGGCACTTCCAGCCTGAACTGGTAAGGGATTGTTTCCAAGCTCTGTGAAGAAATGCTCCTGCCAGCCTTCCCACAGCAGCACTTACAGGGCTGGAGGGGAATGAAGCTCTAAATGTTCAGCTCTAAACAGAGTCATTTCCAACATCACCCTCTCCCACAGAAGACAGGAAATCAGAGGATCTACATGACCAATATGAAGTAACTAGGGCTGGTGAAAGGCTAATTAAGTCTCCATGAGCTTATGTCTGGGTTGTTTGAATATCCTCAGTATCACAAGCTGGATTTGATGGACAAAACCTAATAACCTTTTTATTCATTTGTATTGCCACCTTAAGAGATAGTTCTTTTCATATTGTTGTAGCGAAATTGCTATACTGCATGAAGGGGAGAACCAACGGTTTACTTGCAGATAGCCCAAAGTTGCCACCTGCTTAGTAAATATTGAGTCACAAGGCTGGCTACACCAGCCTCAAAATGGTGAGATCAGGAAGAGCTCACGGGTCAGTCCCTCAGATGAGAAGAGGTGTAACTCGGGTTCAAGCCTACCAAATCTCCTGGACAACAGCTGACTTCCGAGATGAATTTCCCTGGTCTCAATTTAGTTTAATATATTGCATCATAGAATCAGACATACCTTTGCAGAAGCTTCTTTACTGTTAAAAAGGTTTAATAAAAGAAAGGTGGCTGGGTAAAAACTACATGAAAAAGGCAAACTTGTCAGCCTTCAAGTGTGGTTTCCATTTTAACTATTCAAAATGTTAGGTCTGGTGTCTTCATCACGTTTTCCATTGTAAATTAGCTTTAGCTGCAGCAGTCATAATTTTGCCGTTGTTTCTTTTAGTCACCCTGCCTAACAGGTCTTAAAGCTGCATTACAGCAAGCAGCCTTCAATCACATTTAAGCATTTTTAATAGGTACTTTCCTTTTTCTTGCCAGATATTCAGCTTAGTCCTAGATTTGACAATTTGATATGAAAAGACTAGAGCTAATATTTGCTGGATTAGAGATAAAAAGTCTGGCAGCATCCAGACCATGCTGCAGGCAATCTCACTCTCAGGCTGGGCTATTCTCAGTCCATTTTGTTTGCTGTTCACTAAAGTGACAGGAAAAGTACAAGTAAACATAAATACACGAATACATTTTTTGGCTACACTTTTTTTCTCACAATGTATCTAAACAGATATGTTCTATAACGTTAATGCCCCATATATCACTTGTAGCATCCCTCTGTACTAAAAAAGGGATGTAAAAAAGGAAGAATGCTGCATTTCACATTGTATTGTCAACTCCAAGACAATGTAAAACACCACCAGCATGCACTAAGGCTGCAAATGATAGAAAATGCATGTCACCAGAGAACCAGGACCTATGTATATAACATTCCTTTACATTATTAGAAATCTATGGATTTCACAATGAATCCCACAGCTACTGAGAAGACATTCAACCCAAAGCTTCACATTTGACAGTCTGTAGAAACAAAGCCTACAAATATTTTGAACTAACCTCACAGTAACTATCTGGCCTCCATCCAGCTCGATTCCATTCATCTGTGCTATGAAGATGGCAGCCACAGCTTCATAAAGAGCAGTTCCATCCATGTTAATAGTTGCTCCAACAGGAAGAACGAATCTTGTTACACGCTTATCAATGCCTAGATTTTCTTCAAGACACCGGAATGTGACAGGTAATGTTCCAGCACTGAAGGATAGAAAGCAAAAAAGTAAAGAAGACATAATTACAATATAATATATACACATACAGGAGAAAAGTCAGAAATTATTCTCTCATTGTTTACATTTTCTACTTCTACTTTCTGCTGTGATTCAAGTCTTTTTTTAGCCAATTTTTAAATTAAACCTGCAATTAGCTGGAAGTGGGGCTGAGGCCAAAACATGAACGTGACTTGGAGTAGGGATGAGAGCTTGAGAGAGTGTAGATGAATTATTTCTTGCATTTTCTTCAAAAATACAAGTTTCAGATGTTTTCTGTTGGACAGAACTATGAATATAGGGGCAAATCCTAAATGTCTTTGATTATGAATTTGGTCTGAATGGAGAAATCAGTGTTACATTAAGGAATGAAAAAGCCAGGCAAAAAGATTCAACCCGTGGAGTTTCCAGACACTGGAGGACAGGAAAGGATACGAAACACAGCTGGAGGATACGACAAGATGCAAAAAGATGGCTGGAAGAGGGGAACAGCTCCTTGCACAGATCCACAGTGCCTTGCCTTTGTCGAAATAGTTCAGGCTATTCACTTGCTCAAAATAAAACCCCTTCATCAAAAAATACTGCTGAAAACAGAACATACTCTTCTTCCCTGTAGACGCAAACATCTTCTTCCCTTCCCTTGCGGGTCTGCCTGCCTCAGGCAAAGGACTTGCTGCAACAAGTATGAAACCCAACACAGGAACATGTTTTGTTTCCTTACTTTTCTGTGTTATCTCTGAGATGAAGTCCACCACTAAATGAAGTTCGTTGTTGCCTGACAAGCTGTTCTGAAAAGAAAGGTGACCTGGGGAAATTCCTTTTAATGGGTGTTTCACATAGCAGCAGCTGGAGCACATCCGTTGTGGTTTATTTGCTTTTCTTTGGCTGAGTTGGTAGAATTTCTCGAAGGTCTTCACTATTGTATCCCACTAATTCTGGTGTCTTTGCCCCTACAAAAATACTACTTTGCTCACAGAAGAGTAAAGGACTAGAACCATCAAATTTTCTCAGATAAATACTTGCAACATATTGTTGCTAGTGGCTTGCAACTTCCAGGGTCTTTTCAACTCCTTCATTTATCCACTACCATAGAGATGCTAATGGGTACAAAAAATGTAGTCTTTCAATTTTACAGATAATTAAACCCTGTAAAAGGCACATTAAGGAATGATTGAGATATCTAACTATAAAAATGTGGTGTCATAAGAAACATCCTAACAAGCACATGAGGTTGACCTATCTAGCATGGGATCTATGGAAAACTCAAACCCTTCTGCATTGGCAGGTGCCTGAGTCACTTCCTAAATGACTCCTCTTGTCCCACATCTATGGAAACATGAATTAGAAGATATGAGCTTCTAGATCCCCACCTTGTGCTCAAATGACTGGACCATTCTTTGTTTACAGAGGTGATTTTTTTTAACAGATGTCACTAAGCCAGATACACTGTACCAGTCATTTGTATTCCAGCATCTTTACAAATATATTTGTAATTTTGATCTATTTATTTTGTTTTTAACCAAAGGTAACCAAATGCTTAATATTCTGTGGGTTTAGCCAAATAAGAGAGAATTCATACTTTCTAAAAACAATGTAGTATATTCTCTCCTAAGTTACTCTAGTAGCTACATTTATAGCAGACAACAGAAAATATCTAGTGATTCATTGATTAATAACTACTAGTCAGTTTCCAAGTCAGATCCAGGATCACTTTGCCTCCTACAGCAAAGATATTCCTATATCTTATTAAAAGAAAAATAGAATAGAAAATGTAGTTCACTGACACACATTGAAACTCAGTCAGATAAGGTTCCTTAATTCAGAAATACAAGTCTCAGCTTACCTTTACTGTTACAAATCAGATCATCAGCACAAGGTGTGTACCAGCCATGGCCTACCATTCATGCAGTGAACCCTGTCAGGCTCCACAGGCACAATATATTCATCAACGACTTGGATGAG